TCGCTTATAATAACTCCGCTTAACGTGAAGAACTGCAAGTGTATTATACTTCGTTTAGTTTCTGTAGCGATGTGACCTTCAGGTTGACCGGCGCAAAGTAGAAAGGAACAGCATTAGGCCAGAAAAGGAAGGAGACAACTTTCGGCCAAACTCTTAACCGGCGAGGAGCGTATAATCCGTACAGTACTGCACGGAAAAATTGACCATTTTATCCACTACAATTGCATGCTCAAATGTGCTGTTATTGGTACCATTTACTACTGAAAATATCAACGAGATGTTTGTTTATATTCGAAGACATATTAAAGGCTTTAACGCTTGTTTTCGACTCGCACTACTATTCATGATTGAACAGAAGTTTTGGCAGGTACTGTATGAAAAAGTATGTTTAATGAACAAGAATGGGAAGTATAATGAGCTTTTACGCGCATCCATGACATTGGAAGTGGCAAATCGCTAGAGAAAGTAAATGAAGTATAGTTAGGATGATCTAATTTAGAAAAAGTATAAATTGGTTTCAACAATCAATAAGACTAAAGACAGCTGGTATAACTACATGACTTAGTTAACATACGGCACTAATTGTGCTTGGTGGTAGTAAGTAAGGCAGCGTCCTTCTGATTTCCCTAGTATTTTCCCTTAGACAAGAACACGCTCTGAAAATAGGCTAACGATTTGTACAATCTTATTTGCCGGGAATGAACAAATGTAAAGAATTCTAGCATTTGTCCCAATTAAACTGAATTATTCCATTATCCTTTTTTTACGAGTTTACGTCTGTCGGGATGTACAGAACGCCCACACGGACTCTTTTTTGTTATTTGTGGTCGCAAAAACCTCTCCAAAGGAAGCTATGAAAGAGTAAACACAAAAATATTAATGGTTATCTGGGCAACTCAAGAAAATTTATCTTGCGGTAAACCGCGCGAAAAAAACGAAACGTAATATCATTTGTTTTCCGTGCACGTAGCTAATGGCTGGTGACCAACCCCAAACACTATAAATATATTTAATGTAAACAAACAGGTAACCTTAACATTTATTTTAGGTGAAAAGAATTGAAAAGGTTTTGTTTTTAGGGTTCCGCACGTCCGAATGTGTCTGTCTGTGCGTCTGTCACAGTCAATTTGCTATGAATGTACTGGACTGATTAGGTTGAAATTTAATACACATATGAATTTCTGTGACCGAAACACAGACGCATAACGTAAATACGGGTCATTTTTGAAGGGGATCAATAGAAAATTAAAAAAGAGTTTTGCAGGCAGTACTGTGTGATATAGGTATCAAATGAAAGGGCTTGTTGTAAAGGTCTCAAATACAAAACCTTTATAGGATCACTCGTGTGCCTGTCTGTCCGTTTTTTTTTTTTCATTTCGTTTGAATGCATCTTTATTACGTATTACAGCGTGTCTAGAAATCGAATCAATTCTAAACAGACGAAGGCCTTTAATTGCTATCGTTTTTTTTCCATCAATTATACGTTTTAATTAATTTTTATTTATACAGAATATCCATCGTGGTATGATAAATTGATAAATACTTATGTATATCATAATAATGTGTCGAAACCAATTTAAAAATGAAGCAGAAAATTGTATTGTGTAGATTATATTAAAATTATCCTTCAGGTCAAATAAATAACTAGATTGAGAAATAATGAACATAAAAATTTGAATGTCCACGTTTTCTTGTAATCTTAATTACACTGACAATTTTTAAAGATGTTTGGGATGTACAAAAGTATTTAAAATTAGGAATTCGTAAATAATTAGGTTTTATAGTATACCATTAGGTAAATACATAGCATCTACACTAAGAAAATTTAGATAGTTTGAGAGAGTTCAAGTTAATTATTATAAAAGTTTTTAATGCCCGATAGCATTCTTTCTGTTAACAAAAATAAGTTTGGTCAACGAATCTTTAAAAGATTATATACGTGTAAAATTACAGTCTTTTTAGATTGCGGTAACTAGTGAATCGATTTGTAACTTTCATATTAGAAACCTTATAATTGAATGACAAACATTCTACTAAACTTTCATTCGTCTTGTAGCATTTTGACATACCTCCCAAACCCAAACATCTTTAAATCACACGTTTGTTATAACTATCTATTTCAAGTAAAAGATTCTTATATTTAAACAATCATATGTTCTAGAAAATGACACAAATGGCGCGGTAAACGCCACCTGTGGTACGATTGCTACATTATTCGATCATAGTAACGTGGCTATCACGTTGAGGTTAGCTACGCCGGGATTCGTTTCAGTAAGTAGATATCCATATATTTAAATGGACCTTGTTGGAGCATACGTAATCCTAAAATGTAGCATCGTACTACAGATGGCGTTTACCGCGCCATTTGTGGTATTTTCTAAAACGCGCTGTTAAGACAGCAGGTAAAAGTTGGTCTGTATTCTGTCAGAGCTGTCTGCGACGCGCTGATGAGATCCAAAACGATCGAAATCACGATCCGCGTCTGGCAGTTTCGACAGAATACAGACCACTTCGAATTATTTTATTCAATCATATGTTCGACAAAGTTACTCATTTGATTGCGACTGAAGATAGACACGACTTTCGGTAATAAAATATAAAATGGAGCATTTGAACTGTTGGAATCGTTACTTCTAGAAAGCTTTCATATTAATAGAAAAATTCCTTTACTATTTCTTGAAATTTTAATTGACTTGCGGAATATTCCCTTATCGGCCCATTTTTTATTTTTGCTGACCTTTGTCAAGGAATGCTAATACTTTATGTCAACTCCATTTTGAAATATTCAACTAAGTAAACGAACTGTACTAATCACCCAAGATAATCTAATATGCATTTGAAATGTCCCATATCATTGTTGTCGATACCGAGGAAGCTAACATTCTCCTACGGAAAAGATCACGGTTGGCTTTAAAGCTACCTGGTTGGAATTATATCTTTAAACAAGCATTTTTGCTTTCCTAAATTCCTGAGAATGTTGAACTTTCTTCGGTCCTATGCTGGCAACATGCTCAAATTGTGTTTTTCTGAATCTCTTTCTGTTACACATTAATTGGTGTAATGTTATTTCCTTTTCCTTTATTGGTGTTCGCTGTAATTCCTACCTGACATCTCTTTTCTAACAAATAAACAAACAAACAATAATTTAACTATAATTAATATATAATTTAACAATATAATAATAAAAATAGCCTACACCTTATTATATAATTCAGAAACGTAGAAAACGGCAGAGAACCATTACAGAATGAGTGAAGACGCCAAACCGCCTCACCACCCTGCACTATTTGCTTCTTCTTGATCTTGAATACGACTCATCTCATTATTATTATTCTTTCCGCTATTTAAACGGCCGCTAATTAACCTACTATCCCAGTAGGTAAGTAGCTTACAGTTTTAAATAAATAATTTAAATCTACTTACCAACTTTGTACTACTGATCTAAATAAGAATTAATGGATAATATCTGACAATGGAAACCAAAAAGTTATTAGACCTCGTAATGGTTAACTGCTAGGAATGCATATTATAAATGTTTATTAATTTACAAGTATGAATGGCAGACTTTTGAGCCTTTTAAAAATGAATTAAAGATATCCAAGTATCGCCATCTAATCGGTATTTACTGCTACTGAAGTATTTCATGTGTGGACTTTCTTAACTGACTCGATTCCTGTGAATCAAAATTATTTGAACAGTAGATATAAAAATGTGGTAAATCAAAATAGGAATTACAGTTAAAATATGGTAGGAAATCATACAAAAAGCGTTAGCCCTTCAGGCCTCCTCTTAAAAACAGGAAATAAAGAGGAAATTACTATTGTGTGCTAGTTCTGGTTAGTAATTTTTCAACAAGAATATCAAAAGTCAATATTGGAGGTATATTATTAAACTTATTTTATAGGAAACAATGAAATATTTTATGTTTCCAAATCAATGGATACTTTTAATAAACAGTCGGTCAATTAATCTAGAATTATTTTCATTATTTGTGTAATTTGAGAAAGTATTTTGACGAAAGCTACGATAAATTCATTTTGTTTTTCTTTTTTTCGGGTACTTGCCAGTTTTATTATTATCCCTAGGTCCTCTAAGAATTCTCTGATGGTATCAACCTCAAGGGATTTTGCACAACTTAGACGTAAATATTTACATATAACTGAAGTTTTATACGCCAGTAAAAAAATGTATTCAATGTGTGAAAGCATAATGGCTTGAGTAATCTAAAACCGCAAATGGATCCCCACAAAATAATTCTATTATGTTATAACGTGTATTAGCTTCGTTCGAGAGAAAAAACTCGGTGTAGATCGTATTTTTCAAAAAGGTCCTGATTATGCAACTTTTCTATGTACATGTTTTAAATTTCCATTCTAAAACCACTCCTCTTTTTTATGCTTCGATTATGCTAAACAAACTCGACTCGAATTATATCGAAATGTAAATTTGACTTGTTTTTTTTTTTTCGATCCCTTGTTCGTAAGACGTATCAGCAAATTATCATCGCAAATATTGAAAAATAAATGAAGGTGGGCGTGATTTCAATTATCTGATAATAATGTACGTAATAGTAGTAATATAAATACATAGGTTAAGATAACAGGATGATCAGCAACTAAATAAAACTTTATAACTTTATAAGTCTAACACAATATCAGTGCACAATAACCTGCCCACTTTGCTAAACATAACTCTTTCAACCCCTTTGTCTCCTCCCTAAAATTCTAAAATACGTTAAGCGTTTGATTAATTATATCAAAGAGCATTAAGACCAAGTTTGAAGTAAATCTGATTACAAACAAAAATGTTCTGAATGCCACACATTTTCACCCCCTTAAGGGTTGAATTTTTAAATATCCTTCCTTATTTCTTGTGTACATCATAAATAAAGCGTTTGTGCAAAATATCAGCCGTCCATATCCAAAGATTTAGTTTCGCCCGGAGGTAAAATGTCTTATAATTAGTTAACACGTATTAAAAATATTTCTTCCTTGTTCCAGAGTGTCCCCCTGCCGCAGACGGCATGGATAGGTTCGCCTGCCCAACCCCCGACCGGCAAGGCCGGTATCACTGCATAGACGATCACGTTCTTTGCAATGGTTTCATAGACTGTCCCACAGGAGAAGATGAAGACCGTCAAGCCTGTATGTATTATAAGACGGTGAGTACATATTCCTTTACAAAAATTAAATGCTTCAAAATACTTCCTGCTGTACCTAACCCAACCTGATATTGGTAACGATCTCGCAATAACCACACTATAGATATACCTATTCATTTGGATTCACCACCGAGCGGCATGGCCTAGACTAAATGGACTAAATAAACGCTTAGCATTCGGGAGGACGCCGGTCCAAGTTTTTCTGTGGTTTCCTTGGACCACTTAGAGGCAAATGCTGAGGCAGTAATACTCCACAGATAATCTTTCACTCTCTTCTGTCTTCAATTCGTCCGCTTCATCTTTCTCACCCGAACCACCACCCACCCATTCCCACGATTCCTGAAAGGAGGCTGAAGAGGGCCTTCCGCCCTACCTTCCGGCGTAGTCCGGAGGGACTGCCCGCCCACCAGCATTACTGGCTGGTGGGAATGAAACACCCAAAAGTTTTTTTTTTTTTTTGGATTCACCACCAGGTAGCATCACAATAAATGTGTATTAGGGTTGCCGCCAGGCCGGTTTTCCAGCGGTTTAACTGATTTTTCATTAACAAGAAAAGTTGATAGGAATAAGAAATAAAAACGTAGTCTGTCATCTGTTGGTGAATAAACGGATTTATTGCTTACTTATTCTACAGGATGGTGGTTCGACCTGCATACTTTCCGGGATTCACCGATCCTTGTAGACTTATTGTGTATGCAGGTAGAATTTATACGTTCGTTGTGGGCTTTTTCATACCATTTCGTAGTACTACCAAATATGAGAAATACTAATAGTGAAATACCAGATACACCACGAAAGACAAAACGTTATTATGAAGTTTTAATCTTTTAGTGTTTTTTCAAAATCTAAATCGTACTAAGTAGTACAGCTTAGTTTCTTTGAAAAAATAATTTAAGTAAAATGTATGATCGCCACAAATCACCTCCAGGGCCAGCTTTCGGTTAACAAAAAGGTGGAAATCTAAGCTTGTATGTGTGCATTTATAACACAAACTAATCCTCATATTCTTATATCTGAGGATTAACTAAATATTGTAAAATATTTTAAAAGTATTGTTGTTTTAGGTATTCCTCTCACACACACATATATATAGTTACTACAGAAATAACAGAAAACAAAAGTGTATTTCTTTAAGAAAGAACTCTGGAATCCTTTCAACCAGATGTGTTTCTTTTTCGGCCTATAAGTGTTTTATTAACAAAGAGACGGTTTTTATGCGACTTTACAACAGTCCCAAAGGTTTTCGGGCTTTCTCGGCTCATTTGGATGCGACATATTGTTTAAATGACCAGTCACTTGAAAACTGAACTTCGCCTATCTTCTTGGATTTACTTCATTCAACGAGAATGTTCATTATCGTTCGTATATTATGAAAATTTTTTTTATTGGTGACTGAAATGGTGCAAGATTAGAATTAAATAATCGGATGGAAGCTAATTTTACCCAAATCCTTAACTTTTTATGAACAGTAATCTGATCTAGGTCTACCTCTACTCATCTTAATTCATGTTTCTTCTTCTAATATGTCTAACTATCCCCTCATGCCTGTCCTCCAAGTCTCCAAGTCCCTCTAATACCTCGTCATTTCTAACCTTTTCTATCTACGGTATCCTCATTATTTCCCTGTAACATCACATTTTAAATTAATTTGAATAGTACTAAAATATCCAACTTTTCGGCAATTTATTTATTACTTATGCCAAGTAGAGGATTCTTTTGTCTATGGTAGACGTTTCATCAATAATGAATAATCAAATGAAATATGTATCCCCAGAACATTCCTGATGTCAATGACTTTTATTTTTTTTTTTTTTTATATAGTTTTAAGGATCAATAAGATCAAAAGTTAAGAAGATTTTCATGAAGAACATACTTACAAATCCTTAATTTTGAACTCTATATCTTCTTAACGTATGATTTAAATTAATAAAGGATATAGGGGTTCCACTTTTAATCGAATATTTTTAACTGTTACTTTTTATTGTTATCCTATTGTATTTATGGAATTGTATATCGTAATACCGTGATGATTTATAGCTATTACATACTGTTGTCAATTAATTATGTAGGCGAGAAAGGAAAATTTGAATAGATATTTCGAATATAAGAATTAATCATTAATGAGTGTTCAAAATTAGTAAACCTTTCACTTCTGTACATATGTATAATTGGTTGTCCATTAGTCAAAGAAAATTATACACCCGATGAATCAATAAAACGGTCTATTTAAATCTCTTGTATTTTGTACTCACCCATACAAAAGCCCATAAAAAATCTCAAATAAAAAAAATTCAGTCGAAATCAGCAATTGTCTATTGAGTCTACAATCTCTTGACGATCTCACTATCCAACGATACCTGGTTATTTTATATTGTCGTTAAGGAACAGGTTCATATTACAAGCCAAGTCATTGCAACTCGTTTGAAACAGTTAGAGATGTGACCTTGAGGAAAGCTGCGCGAATAGAAATAATACACACCAGGCGTGAGCTAGATAGAAATAGTTTTAACGAGATAACATATGAGTGAATTTGGATTTTTGCTACGGAGAATCCAAGTAAAGGGAAGGAGTATATCTCTAACCGTTTGAAACGAGCTATACTATAGAGCTGATGTTCAATTTCCGGCAAAACTCTCTCATAAATACCTAGATACCAAACCGTATTTAAAAAAAAAACGTTTTATCGCCGTATGTAGGTACATATTTATATTTGAAAGTACACAATTCACAGGCTTAAAACAGTGATTTATTCTTGTTCCAAATAAATTTAATGGTTTTGCAATTATCTATTCATTAATTACTAATTATGTTTGAAACAGATAACCAATTATCGACCTTACCGGCCAATAGCTATATTCTACCTAGTAGATGCAGAGATCGAGGGTCTCACTGTAATATATTATTAAATGTTTTAATTTGAATGGGCCTGTGAGTGCACGAATATTCAGTTTAATTTTCATTAGCATTATGCTGTCCTTCTAAGTTCTACTATTAGACCTTCTCAACAATATTGCTTTCGAAGTGTGGTTAGTTTGATGCTTATACTACGACTCTACTGCTCAAAGGATGCAGGACACAATGCAATTACAAGGAATAATACTTCACCATCTATTAAGAGCAAATGAACAGAAACGCTTTCGTTAATTAATAATATACATACGAGTATAAACAAGTGAATCCTGTTTGCTGTTTTTATAAAAGTTCTATAAAAAAAGTAAAGACCAAATAATCGGGTAAGTATTTGATTTAACAAAGCCTAACTGCTTATTAATTACCAAGTTATAAACGGTAAACATGATCACAGTTTTCTGGATATAGCGTTACTTTGTCTACTGAAAACTAGATGGCTTTAGTTACAAGTGAATAAGCAATGCTACTAGGGCGATAATTTTGAAAATCAGACCGCTATCGGGGTAAAATGGTCATTTAAAGCTTGAATTTACAGGGAAATATCGAAAATTCACAACATACGTATACATAGGTATATTCCTTTTTGTATTTTTATTACTAATCGATTGTTGGAATGTTGACAGATGAACTGTTTGCTACTTGACTTTTTAATGCACGAAAGTAACTAGAAGCCAGTGAATAAAAATAGTGTATGGAAGCAAATATTTGAATTGGATAAAACAGAGTGGTGTGTCGCACAGCAAGGGGCTGTTTGTATGTAATCGCCCACGTTCAATGAATTTGTTTTTTTAATGGCATTCCAGGGTTTAACGTATTCACTATATTCATGTATATCTGTCTAGTAGGCAGTTTAGGGGAAAAATACTGGAGAGAAAACACGCTATCGTGGAAGTTGACCGGCCAATTAAACCATTTGACAGGCGATTTTGCGGAAATTTCCGTTTTTCATCGGGAAAAGCCATTGACTGTATAATAGCGCATTTTTAACCCAGTTTTAAATTAAAATGTTCATTAAAGCACTCACTAAATTTAGATACAATCCCTAATGTTTCATCATCATCATAAGGTCATCAGTCCTAAGACTGGTTGGACACGTACCTCCATTCTTTCCTATCCTGAGCTAAAATGCGCATTTCCCTAAAACTAGAACAGCACACATCCTTAACTATTTGCGAAGAGTAATCTAATCTAGGCCTACCTCTACCCCTCCTAACTCCTGTTTCTGCCTCTAATATGTTTCTGACTAGACCTTCATGCCTGAGAAGGTGTCCTACCAACCTATCTCGCCTATTTTTTATTTTCTTCCATAGAGTCCTCNAGATACAATCCCTAATGTTTCATCATCATCATAAGGTCATCAGTCCTAAGACTGGTTGGACACGTACCTCCATTCTTTCCTATCCTGAGCTAAAATGCGCATTTCCCTAAAACTAGAACAGCACACATCCTTAACTATTTGCGAAGAGTAATCTAATCTAGGCCTACCTCTACCCCTCCTAACTCCTGTTTCTGCCTCTAATATGTTTCTGACTAGACCTTCATGCCTGAGAAGGTGTCCTACCAACCTATCTCGCCTATTTTTTATTGACTTCCATAGAGTCCTCTGTTCTCCTATTCTTTCCAATACCTCTTCATTTCTAACCCTTTCTACCCACGGTATCCTCATCATTTGCCTGTAACAACACATTTCGAACGCTTCTAACCTTTTCTTTTCCGCCGCGTTCATGTTGTAGGGTGGTAGTAATTTCTTTAAATAAGGTCCTTCTTACTTATTTAGGTACTTTAGAACCAACTAATTTTGCAGACACTTACTGCTTACGGTATACCTATAGCGATATAGAGCCAGTGACATTATTGTGTATTGCATTAAAAAAAAAAAGTTTATTCAATAAAACTTTTGGATATAGGCAGGTGATTTTTTTTTTTGAAAGAGTTCGCCCTGGGGTAATTTCAGACCTTTAATTTTCATCCCTTGTTGTAGGTTAAACTTAATATGTATATTCGTTTTTCTTTCGTTTGTCGTACTTTGAAGAATACACCACGAATTTGTGGCGCTTTTATTTTTATGTTATCGTTGATCGTTGGTTAAT